TTCCCTTTGGGGTTGGGACTGAGTTTAAGAAACATAATTATTGAAGTTCTCCATAACTTTAGGTATTTTCATGGGAGATAAGAAAAGTCATATTAATTATTGTAACAGTTGATTTTGTGATGCTAAAAGAGAAAAGCCAAGAGAATATAAGGATTTGGTTATCAAAACCAACAATCCAGAAACTATTATCTGAATTTTTCCCCTTGACCTACTGATTTTGCTGAATTTCACCTAATTACATTGGCACTGAAATTATAGGACATACCAATGAGTCACTAAAAACTCAAAGTTAGCTTTAAGTATTGTGTGTAACCAGCTAAGTGACATAAACACTTTTTGCAGTCCATCACATCTCACAACTGGCTGCAAAAGAACTCTCAAATCTTGACTATAACTAGCGCATAATCTATACATTAGAAGAAAATAATGCAAGTGTAATAGAAATCTGGGAAATAGTGGGATGATTCAGGAAAGGCTAATTTGACTACCTGTATGTCCTCCTTTTGCTAAAATAACAGGAAAGCATAAAATAGCATTTTTAAAAGGTACTTTTAACACTGACAGGTATTATTGAAACATGTAGCTACTAGCAGTGAAAAAGGAAGACTGTAGTATATGAGAACAGCATCTGCAATTAAGGATAGTGTAAAATTGCGTGTATAAAGGCCAAAGCTACTCACTAGTTTGGGTCGGGCAGAAATGTTTCCTTCTCAGTTCCTACAGGCAGGCTTGTATTTAGAGTTTGGGCCTAGGTCCAGGCCTTTTATAGAGAATGCATACCAGACTACATGGTTCTCAGACTATGCTGCTATAAATTATATCATCAGGGTCCTTACTATCATTATACTGGTAAAATAAAGGCCAAGCAGGCACAATACAGACTTTTAAACGAGATACTACACTAAATATCGATGACCACAAGCAAGTAATGTTTTGTGTCTGCAAAAAGCAATGAATACCAGATTTGTATTGTGTGTGCTGTGTGAACCATGTACATCACCCCCAACAAAGTATCTATCTGTTCAAAATGTACAGACGGATACAACCAGAAGAACAACAGAGAATTAGTAACATTACTTTTTTCTATTTCAACCTATAACAACTGAGATATGTCTAACTGCAGGGATATTTTTAGTTAGTTTTCTATGTAAAACTTGTAGGAGGCTCTGATGATTACTTGTAATCAGGAAATTTAGTTACTTTACTAGATATAACATAATAAATGCATTTCAAGAACCATGAATAGTGTATAGAAACCATTTGTGCCATTGTCCACGTCTAGATTGAATTTATTCTTTCAACATTGCATACCTGAATCAGATTCAAATTACTTATCTCTTTGAAAAACGTGGCTTACTTTGTAAAAATTCCTAAAGACAGCTGTACTTTTGAAGCAATTTTCTTTCTTATTCTTCAGCTTGAAGTATTTTTGCAGACTGAGAAAGTATTTCATTTAAAAGCTCAAACAAGTTGACAAAAATGTATTACGCTGAAAAAAATATGACTCCAAGTATTTGCAAGATTCAAAAGCATGTACCTTGAGCTCTAGCTATTTGTCTGCACAGGATTAGCAGTGAACTTTCATGGTGTCAATTCTTCTCTGATCTACTGATGTTAACATTTTGAAGAAACTCAAGGTAGAGGTAGAAACATCATCCTGGAAACAAGAACCGTATGCTCATATTGACTAGCTAAATAATGTAGGCATCAAGTTTAATCTTACTCTAAATTACACCTGTTTAAAACTAGGTTAATGCTGACTTTCCCAACTATACCCAGATCTATGATTTCCTATGACAAGTCTGCAACGAATATAGCGAGCTTTGGACTATGGATGTTGTAGAAAGGAAGGAAGGAGCAGACAGAACCAGTGTTTTTTCCTGAACACATACCTTTGGGTGGAAAGTAATGTTTGTTCTGCTGTGATCACTCCCAGAAAGAAAAGGAACCTGTTCAAGTTGGATCACGTTTCTTAGATTCATTAACCTATTTTTTTTTTTTAAGTGTTTAATTCCCTCTACAGTTTCCAACTTTTTTAGAATTAAAAAATTAAAGAAATCCAGCAGGCCCCATTTTAATTATAACCCAACAATTTATTAATAGATCAGTAATGAAGTTTCTGAAATTTGATTTCTTAATCAGGGATCATTGTTATTTCTGTGCCAGATTTAAGAGTTTAATTTTGGGTGCTTCTTCCCAACCTCTGAAATTTTAATCAGAAGTTTCAAGTGTACATGTCAATGAGAAGTTAAAGGCCAAATTTAATAACATTTTCTACCTTGGGAAATTAAAAGAAGAGCCTCACTCTCTGAAATCCATTATTAACAGTAGATCTTAATTAAACACCGTTACGGTCCTCAATATTTTGTCTGCGTGAAGAGATTGGTTTCAGTATTTTTTCCTTTTTTGGATTCAACAAGTCCAGGATATTCAATAGTTAGACTTTTAACTATGTGTAAATAAGTTGTTTACTGCAGTGTATTTGTAATTTTTAATTAAAGCAATGTTGTTCCTTGGTTTCATGGTTTATCATGGCAATATATTTTTATTACCTACTGTGCTCTTGGATTTTAAATTATTTATGTAAATATGTTATTGCGGTATTTATTCTCAGTAAGCAGTGTGACTCAATGCTTCAGAAATATCTTCACAAGAAAAATTTATTATAGCTTTAAAGCGTATCTAATTCATTAAGTAGAATTAAAATGCAGCATTTGAAACTGGAGAACTTAGAAATGGAACCCAAACTGCAGTGAGTTTCATTGGAATATGAAAGAGTGCCAAAAATATCTGAAGCAATATATGTCAATAAGATACATATTTGTGTGTGTGTGTCTGTGTGTGTGTGTGTGTGTGTGTGTGTGTGTTAAATAAGTTGTTTACTGCAGTGTATTTGTAATTTTTAATTAAAGCAATGTTGTTCCTTGGTTTCATGGTTTATCATGGCAATATATTTTTATTACCTACTGTGCTCTTGGATTTTAAATTATTTATGTAAATATGTTATTGCGGTATTTATTCTCAGTAAGCAGTGTGACTCAATGCTTCAGAAATATCTTCACAAGAAAAATTTATTATAGCTTTAAAGCGTATCTAATTCATTAAGTAGAATTAAAATGCAGCATTTGAAACTGGAGAACTTAGAAATGGAACCCAAACTGCAGTGAGTTTCATTGGAATATGAAAGAGTGCCAAAAATATCTGAAGCAATATATGTCAATAAGATACATATTTGTGTGTGTGTGTGTGTCTGTGTGTGTGTAATTTTTTTATCTGCACCTGAATCCAGCTGACCCCACGTAGTATAAGTGGCTTCTGGAAACATAGGTACATTGTCTTAGAGGTGAAGTCTCAACTGTTGTAATTTGAAAGCCAATTTTTTGCTTGGAAGTTGACATCCTTTTATTTGATTCTGGTCTCCTTATATCACCATATCATTAATTTAGTGGAATTACACAAATGTGAAACCAGTAAATCTCCATTTGTTTGAGATTAATCATTT